CTCAAATAAGAAAATATATCTTTTTTTTTTTTTTTTTTTGGCTGAAGGATTTTTCAATTTATTTAAAAGTTTCAATTTGTTGCATGTAATGCGAAGAGCACAAAATTTAAATATGTATTTACTATTAATAATAAAATACAATTTACATTCATTATGTAAATACATATTGCACTGTGTACATTGTATGTATTTACATTAATTTCTCCAGGATAAGTACCATGGATTTGCCAACTCTGTGGTTCCGAAATTCTACTGCCTGGTGTCTTCCTAAATTCTAAAAACTCTGCCACCTCATGTAGCCACACACTACCAGCTCTAGATCCAATCCTGCTTTTAACTTCTGTTTAATAGTTAAATTTGTTTTGATAAATGAACTTTAACGATACAAAAAGCTTTTCTATATATGGGTTAACAGAATGTTACATTTTAACTAACTAGACAAAATACTTCACAGAAAATGGATCATTAAACAACATCAACTTTATTTCACAAGGCAAATGATATGTCTTTAAAATTATTAATAAAGTAACTAAACTTGTACTGAACTGAATGCAAATATACGAGTTTACACATTTTGCTGTTAAACTTTCTTATAAGCCAAGAGGCATCATTTAACCAAAAATGTCACACTGTGCAACTTTAAGCTTTGGATCAAAACCTTTGCCAATCTTTTACCCAAATTAGATGAGACAGCCTCTCAATAAACCATGCAAAATTTGGAAATGTGTAAATCAGCATCCAATAATGAGCAGCCCTTTGTACTGTCCACTCAGATAGGTGTTAATCAGAAATGTCATATAGGAAATGCCTGGTATATTGGTTGGTGACACCGAGTACCATATTGATGGACCCAGGTTCAAATCGTAGAGAAAATATGGATGTTTGTAAGTGCATTGTGTCTGTGCGGCAAGTGGACACTCGAAATACATGGCAAGTCAAAAGACATCTTGTGTGGCTGGTGGTAGGGAAAGAGGGGTGGGAGATCCTCAAACCACCCTTCGTGGTATTCTCCATCAAAATTGGGCCAGTACTTAAAAAGCTACAATGATACTCAGTATACCTACACATATGCACAGATGTTGGCCTTGCTTCAACCTGTATCTGCTAATTAGGTATCCAGTTTGCACATTTAATACTTTCAGAGCCAAGATTGTCAGCATACAGATTTCAGTTAGTAAAAAAAAAAAGGCCTTGTGTGTGTGGGGGGGGGGTCAGGTTATACAGATGATTCTGTTTAATTAAATATTTATTGTTCATATCTTTTTATTTAATATTAATAATAAATGCAAACGTAATTCAAGAGTTGAATGAATGAAATTTAATGCAAATAAAGCAATTATAATGCTGAAGCACTTCATTAATATATCCTTCCAGTTCCTCATAGAAATTCTAATACAAAATATCTGTAAGAAACTATTTAACATGTAAAATATGTTTTAAACTTTAATTATGTCAGAGTTAAAACAAAATTTTAAATCAAGTGAATAAATTTATTAACAAAATATCAGCTATGATTACTGCAGCCTGAAATCACATAAGTACTACATTATACTATATATATGGATGCTATTATATTTAGACTTTAAAGCTAATTAATAATCAAATAAACTGTGGTGAATAAAACTTCGAACAATGATATTGCTTATCCTTCTAAGAAGCAAACTTTTAAATAATAAATAAATTCAAAAGAAGGTTAAAAATAATCTCATGCTGCTACAATGTATTTTACTTTTGCCTAAATAAAAAGATTCTGAAGACTTCATTCAAAGTTAGATTACATTACAGTAGTTATTTACAGCAAAGTGTTCAATGGTTATCTATCTAGAAGAAGAAAAATAATTTAGTAAACTTTCTTACAGAAAAAAGCCAATACCTACAGGTGAGCTACAGCTATTTTGACAAAAGGCTTGTTCTTTATCTTGCAAAAACAAAATATCAAGTTCTAATTAAATGCTTTACTTTTTTACAAAAAATATGAAGAACAAATAAATCTGTATGAATTAAAAAAAAAAGTTTTAAAATTAAAAAATGTTTCTAAAATTAAAAATAATTAAATAAATAGAATCGAGATATCACAGAAATTAAATAAAATAACAACTGTGCCACACAATTTATGCAAGAAACTGCTACACATTAGATTCTTCTTCTTTCATCTCAGTTGATCCTTTAGAAGGTTTCAAGGCCAAGTTATGACTTTTTAAAAATATTTTGACATAAGTTTAAAATTGAATTCTCTTGCATGTTTGGCATTAAAAAAATTGTCATTAAATATGAAATATACTGTACAATCTAAGAATATCTTCCAGATGAAATATTATTCATTGAGCTGAAAACTCATTCAGCTTTAACAGCAGCAATCTTCACATTGAGTTTAGATTTCTTTATGCTATTAAGAATTTTATTTTGCAGTTTTTGTCAATAAAAGTCACTTCAACAAAATCTTTAAAATATTTTATTTTTATTTCATACTTTAAAATAAAATTTAATGTTTGTTAAAGTATGATTATGGTTTGGTTTACTTAATTACGACAAAGCACACTAATGCTATCTGCCTAAGAGGAGGGATGCCTTCGTGGAGCACTTTCTAAGGAAAACTGGCTCATATACACGTTACACATGGGGAAAACATTGAAAATGCCATGCAGCCAGCCCATTCGTGGGATTCGAACCTCGGACCGACTACCAGTGTTCAGCGACTTTACCGCTCGGCCGCTGGTCTGCAAGTATGATTATGACACATAAGACATATCTTTCTGGCAAAAAATAGCAAGTAAAAGAAAATAACAAGGGGCTTGCAAAATAAAGAAATATTTAACAAAAGGCTCACACAAGCCCAGTGCTGATACCTAGGCTGAAAGTGAAAAACGCTAAGAAAAATTGCTCTTTGGTTTAAGCACTGAAAGGTGTAATGATATCAAAGTTTTTAATAACTGTGTAAAACTGTTGGTTGATCTTTACATTATGGTAACTTGGCGTTTTTTTGGCGAAAATTTGGCGACCAACTCTCCTACAGCAACCCTCTATTTTTTTTTCCCGCCGCCATTTTGTCTTCACGAAGTAAAGACATGTTTCTTTTCTTTTTATCTACTGAACACTTCTTCCAACAATCTACTAGCCAAATTACACTTATGCTAGAAATTTTATCTAACAAAACTGCTTAATCATGACAACTATTCACTGCAAAATTGGGAAAAGTGCACAATACCATACTCCTTACGCGTTTTTCAAAAATACACATACACATAAACCATGTACACGCCGAATTTTTACTTAAAAAAACATCCCAGAATTGCAAAAAATGGCAACATGCACTATAACCATGTACACTGCTTTTTCTCAAAATTAGAAAAATTTCACGAAAATACATGACAATTTTCTTCATCTTTAAACCCGGTAAAAGAACATATATGAAATACCTCGCGAAAAATATACCTTTCCAAATATGAACATTTCCAAATATAAAATAAATAAATATCCAAAAACTTTTACTCTAAATCATCTATTAATTATACACGTCACCAACGAATTCATACCGCAAGCATTACAAATATGTATCAAATATTTAAATTATGCACACTTCAACTTAAATTATACCAAATTCCTACAAACATAAAATTCACAAAATAACTATCATTATTAAAATATCATAAACCATGTACACGCCGACTTATTTTACTTAAAAAAAACATCCCAGAATTGCCACAAAAATGGCATTGCGCACACTCTTCACTATATCCATGTACACTGCTTTTTTCTCATAAATTAGAAAAATTTCACGAAAATACATGACAATTTCTCAATCTTTAAACCCAGTAAAAGAAAATATATGAAATTACCTGATCGCGGAAAAAGTATTTACCCTTTCCAAATATGAACATTTCCACATATAAAATAAATAAAAAATATCCAAAAAACTTTTACCTCTAAATCATCTATTACATTATACACGTCACCAACAAATTCATACCGCAACCATTACAAATACTTAGTGTCAGATATTTAAATTATTTCCATGCACGTTTACTTCAACTAAAACGTTATACCAAATTCCTACAAACATAAAATTCACAAAATAAACTATCATTTAATTAAAATATAATTAAATTCAAAAACACTACTTAAAATATAAATGAGCACATACATTAAATTAATACATACATAAATACCCATTTCGAATTCACTTTAGTTACGGCTATGGGATCCAAAATTCACGAACACTGTTTCACACAACACAGAATAAAAGCCAAATACAAAATTTCCAGATTTTTTTCCCGATTTCCCCCCTTTTCCGATTAAAGAACCGTAATTCTTCCATTAATATCACATGACATATCCCATGATCTCTCATTTCCCTCACACAAAATAATGCGTAATCGGAACTGAGTACTGCTCACAGTATTACCAAAGTCCCACGTAGTAACCTTTATCGCCTCCAAAATGTCGCCAAACTACCAGTTACTATATTGTTCAAAGATCAACCAAACTGTTAATTTAATATTGTTAATTTAACTATTGTTTTTGATAACTGTGTGTTATTAAATTTATAATTTAAAATTTCATACTTATGACAATAAATCTCAAAAGAAATAAATAAATCATTACGTCTTGTTTAAAAATAACATTCAACCTTAATTTAGCAGTGATTGTTAATGCTAACGTATAAACATTTGCTGAAATTCAGTACCAAACTTAATTTCACATTTCTTTCCTTAAGTTGGTATACATTTCTTACAGCTATTACTGAATTATGCACTATATTCTAAATAATGTAACGTATATTATGGAGTTAGTAATACTATGAAACTGTGTTAAGATTTACTAGGAAAATAACGCAAATTCTGAATTTTGTTCAATTTCAATATTCTTTGAGTTAACATTTATTATTCACAAAACAATAATGTTAACAAAATAATAATCATGCACTATAGCAAAAAGAAGCTCACTAAAACGAAATTTATTCATACGGAATCACAATGGACATTAAAATTGAGGGTAATTACCTGATGAATCTGTCACTCCAATATGCAAACTCGATGAATTTACATAGTTACTGTAAACGTAAAAATAATATATATACAAAACAATCGAAGCAAATAAAATTTAACTAAGTAAAAAATGGTTAAGTATTAAGCATACTTGAGAAAATCGCCATTCGAAGGTTTAATAACAATCGTATTTGGCATTCGTTTGGCATCGCAAAAAGGATAAGGAATTCGAAAAGGAGGTACACGTAGCTCTGAATTAGCTAGATCTTCTTGACAAAAACAGCATACACCAGGTAAGACGAAAGAAAACACTTTTTCATTTTTCTGACAATGTTGGAAGCACAGTATACCCGGGTCATCGCTCATACCACTCTTAATACTCCGTGGATCATACCTAAAGCTATGTGTACGTTGCTAGGCGACAATCGCATCATGTTGCCAAAATTTGTTTCCTTTTCCCGCTCAGAAAGCCTACTGCCATATGATTTTCCGTCTCTTTTAACCCATGTTTCAAGAAAGACTCAATAATGTTTTTAATAATTAAAATTTCTAAGCTCTACTCCTATAAAATATATTATAAAAACTAAAACTGGGACGATCTTTCAATAAAGCAATGAAAGTCCCGGATTTAGTGATGAATTTTGCCGGTACTATCTATGATCATGACGGTACCTTAGAATAAGATTACAGGTTGATCTTGCCTTTTCCTTCTGATAAACATCGACTGATTTTTATACGTAAACGCTTTTTATTATTCAAATGTTATTCTCAATTTATGCACTCTTTATTTCTACAAATTTCAATTCTACATGGCCACGCCTTTCCGCAATGTCAACACTTTTGATTACGCCCGTATCGGCGAAGCGTTCACCGCTTGTATTTTTTTTACATTTGGCAGCACCTCAGGGCTGCACCATCATGTTACAAGTTACTGTACATACGCCCACTCATTACAACGACCTTCTCTATCGGAATTTTGGTTTGCCTTTTTACAAATTTTTTTTTTTTTTTTTTTTTTTTTTTTTTTTTTCCCTTCGTAACTTACCTTGAAGTATGTTACCAATCTCTGCAGATGCCAATGACCTGTCAAAGTTCACAAGGAAAAATCGTCGTCTCATACACCATTTTAAATCCGATGAAGGTGTGGCCACCTTTCAGGAGGCGGGCCTATTTTATTCTGTATATCTCGTTACTGACACGTCTTCAAATTTACCCTTTTTATTTATTTATCCCCCCGTCTTTTCTTACGTTAGAAAATTCTTCTTAATCAACATGAAGTTAGCTTTAAAGAGGATATTCTTTCTCCAATGAAGGTGCGGCTAACTTTGATGGGAGGAGCTTTCTACCAAGTTCGTAAATCTCGATATAGTTACAGCACCTGCAGCTGCTCTTTCGTTAATCTTACTTCCTTCCTTCATTCAAGGTACAACTAGCTGATATCATTATAATAAAAAGTTTTTTTTTTTTTTAAGACTAACTTGGTGTTCAAAGTTAACAAAGGTTCTTGTGTGCTGTAACACAAAGTCCTGAAACAACTTCAACGATTCAGGAACCAGTGATGTTAATTTATCCTGGACTTCTTTAATCGATGACCGGCGATCCCAAAATGAAGAGCAGTTTGTAATCCCATTACCCGTAAGCTTTTCTTTTATATTAGCATACCTTGTCTTCCCAGTGGTTAAATTATATGTTCAAAATTATATAATACATTGTATACCTTCTATGTTACAAATTCAAATATCCTATATGTGCTCATGTATAAAATTATGCAAGGGTATCAATATATTTCAAATCTATGTTAATTTTGAATACTTAATGTTACATTCCAAATCATAGGGTTTTTCTTTTTTTTCCGGTTTTAGACACACTCACTCTATTCATCCTCCATGAAGGCGCTGCACACGAAAACGATTCTTTAACAGAAGTTGTCTTCTCAACTAGACTTTGACTAATTAAGACACAATAACACGCCGAACAAATTAGTCTTAATTATAGATGCCCCAAACAGGCTTATTTTTTGCACGTGGTGTGACCACCATTTTGTGATTGTATGGGTTTCGGTAACTACTTTTTTGCAATTTTGAAGTTCTGTTTATGTTTCGCATATTTGGATATTGTGCTTTGCTTGTCTGATTTCATGCATTTTGGTTACAAACGTTTTGTTTTCTATTCGTTTCAGTGTGGGATTTTTTCTGCTGTTTTGTGTGTGCTTTATTATTGCTTAGTTAAATTAGTTTGATTTTCTGCATTGTTTATCATGCCTTCATCCATTAATCGTTTCACTAAATTACGCCTGAAGCAGCAAAAATTCCTGAATCATCTTGACTTTTTACTTAAATGTAAATGTAAAAAATTGATCTCCAATTTTATTCAAATCAAATCTAATCAAAAACCTTCCAGTCGCGTTTCAAGAATTCTGTTAAATTTCAAGCTTGCCTTACTTCGGTCCATCATAAGGGATACACGTCAACAATTGTCCAAAATTGAACATGAACTCTATAAGCTTCATCTGGAACTCCGCTAATTTCATATCCAAAATTCACTGCCCTTGAACAAAAGTCTTGGTCTAGAACGGAGAATGCAGTTAACCGTCATAAAAACACCCTTGCAGTTATATTCGAAAAACTTTTTTTACAGTCTTCCAGTTCAAGTAGTTCAAAAAATCTTCCCATTGTAAACATCAAGCCAATAGTTAATATTTCTAATGTTAGTCTTTCAGAAGAACAAGAGAGAAGTCTAAAATATAATTTTAACTTCTCACAAACCTGTAAACCCTCGATTCCAAAGATTTTGGCTCCTATCGAAAAAAAGCTTTCAAGTTCAGTAAAGTTTCAGATTCACAGAAAGAAATGATTAGGCATCTTATCGCTCATAATGTGAAATTCAATAATAAACCTTTGAAACCAAATCTAACTGTGAGAGAAAGAGCTACAATGCGCGAAATTCATTCTAACCCGATATATTATCATTTCAAAGGCCGACAAAGGTGGCCAGACAGCCGTCATGGATAAAAACACCTACATCAATGGTGTCACTAAACTCTTAAACGAAAGACCATATAATCCGATCCCTAAAGATCCTTCACCTTCGGACCTGTCAAAAATAAAAACTGCGATCAAATCTTCATTCAAGCAACTTGAAACGTTCACTTAATCCATCTGTTACGAATTGTTCCAGATTATATGCTCTTCCCCAAAATTCATAAAAGTGGTATTCCTTTCTGCCCTATTGTATCAAATTTAGGTACTGCCTCATATCCATTAGCTAAATATTTAGTTTCTAGATTTTCAACTCTATTAGACAATAACATTTACACCATAAAAAATTCAATAGAGTTTGTAAAAAAGGTTAAAAACATTTCTCCTAGAAATTTACTCATGGTTTCTTTTGATGTAAAATCATTATTCACCAATGTTCCAGTGGAGGGTGCATTAAGATGTCTAGAAACCAGACTTCGCGAATTTCATTTCTCTTGCATCGAAATTGATGAGCTAATTTCTCTCACTCAACTCTGTTTGAAACAAACACATTTTGTTTTCCAAAAATAAATATTACAAGCAAACTGAGGGATTAGCCATGGGAAGCCCCCTCAGTCCCATCCTGGCTGATATCTACATGCATTATTATGAATCAAAATTGTTTGAAACTTTAAACTTCCCGGCATGGTTCCGCTACGTAGACGATACTTTTACCCTGTTTGAAGGTAATAAAGATGATTTAAATAAAGTTCTTTCAACAATGAATTCTATTGATCCTGCTATTAAGTTCACTTTTGAACTTGAGACTTGCAATTCTCTTCCGTTTCTCGACATTCTGGTCACACGTAACACATCCAACTTCAGTACTACGGTTTACCGTAAACCTTCATCGGTTTGCCTTCCACCACACTTTAAATCATGTCATCCGACTAAACAAAAGTTAGCTTCATTTTATTCCTATGTTTTCCGTGCTCTTCAAGTTTGCTCCTCCAAACTATCCCTTGACGAAGAACTAAATTATTTAAAAGCAATAGCTATTGACAGGGGCTTTTCACCCAACATTATTAATCAAGCAGTTAAAAAATTCTCATCTCAACACACTAAAAGGCACACTCTTGTTTTAGGAGATTATAAAAATTCTGTTGTCATTCCCTTCTTTCCATCAATTAGCTATAAAGTTGCACATATTTTGCAGAAATTTAACTTTCGGGTTGTTTATTCTCCCATCAATAAAATTCCGAGTTCCATACTCAAGGACCCCATTCCGGATATGAATTCCTGGGGTATTTATAGGATTCCTTGCCAGTGTGGTTTAATTTACATTGGCCAAACTAAGAGAGCCTTAAAATTTCGCGTCAAGGAACATGAGGCATATGTTAGAAAAAAGGAAACACAGAAGTCTTCTGTTGCTCAACATTGTTGGTCCGAAAATCACACTTTCAATTTTTCTGCTGCCAAAATTATTCAAAAAACATCTTCCATTGGAGAACTGGATTTTCTAGAGGCATTTCACATTCAAAAAAACTCTCTGTTCTAGTTAACGATCCTAATTCCAATCCAACTTTGCCTTCGGAAGAATTATGTTTTAGTTCTGGTTTCCTCAACAGAGAGCGCCACTTGCTTATTCTTGTCCAGGCTTTCTTATCTAATCATTATATCCTATCTCGTTCATTTGCGGTTTTGCAGCTGAGGATGGTGGTTCGAAAAAACATCGAAACTAGTCCTGTGAAAATTTTGAATATATAACGATGATTTTTTGTTGTTTGACTTCTGAATTAGACTTTGACTGGTATGTAATCGATCCCCCAATCTTTAATTTCCCCCCCCCAACCTTACATCTATTCAGCTTTACCAAACAGACTGACTACACACACCTGGGAGACACTATTTAAAGTAAATGAACACAGCCTCCTCCTCTTTTGACTACACGCATGGACTCAATCGTGCTTTTAGGAAATTTTCTAATTCTTTTCCTTTTCTATAGGCCCTTTTTTATTTTATTTTTTCCCCTACATTACTTTGGGCCATTTATTTTAATTATATTTGTCCCATTTTTTCTTCCTGGCTTTTGAACTTTACTGAACTGAGTACGAAGTACTTTTGAACTGAGTACGAAGTTCTTTTTTTTTCTCTCCTCTGAAACAGGAAATTGCCCGGTTGCTATCTACTTTCCTTCGCAGCTAAGCTTGATTTTTCGTCCATCGGTGCAGAAAGACTTAGATGGTGGAAAACAAGATTTCTGTCTACTTTGTCTGTCATGTAAAGGGACCTTAGAATGAGGGTACTTTAGAAATAAGACGCCTGTATCTCTCTAACTTAGAATGACGGTACTCTAGTGCTGCGTCACCAGAGCTCCTGGTCTTTAGGACCTATCTCCATCGAAGAATAGTCTTTCCAATAATATCATCAAGAAGTGGAAAAGTTCATCATGAGTCATTTCCT